CACAGGGCGACGGTTGGCTGCATCTGCTGCCAGCCAGCTTCCACGGCTTCACCAGGGTGACTGGCTGCAAGGAAGGGGTGAATGCCCCCTGACTTGGGAAAAGCATCTTTGAATTTGTGATTAAATCGGTGAGTTCTGTTTTATCTGCCGGGTGTGGCCACGCTGCAGTTCCTCCTCCGTTCTCCATCCTATTGGACGTGTGCACGTGCCTGGTGCCCAGCGTGCTTCCCAGGCCGCCGTGACCAGGATTTGAACCGCCAGCTTCCTAAGCCACTGGATCATGGGGTCTGCCATAAGTTGATTTTTTTCTGTAAGTTTGTTTATTTTTTAAATGCCAGACGGTGCGTGTGTGTGCAGAGAAGGAAGGAGAGAGAAAGCATCTCCCAGCGGGTCGCGGTCGCAACACTCCCTTCCCTCCATTTGCCGTCCCGGCGGGGTCTCAGATGCGTGCACATGCGCCTGGCATGATGTTCAAGCCACTGGGACCGGCTGTCAGCCATGTGGGATCCAGCTGCAAGGGTGAATAGAATCAGACTCCACAGTTTTCCAAGTGTGTGCTCTTCAGGAACCTCTCGAAAACCCCTGTAATGACCCTGGAATATAGGATACGTAGGATTGCGTGGTCATCCCCGGGCCTTCCCTCGGCTGTAGCTGAGCCCTCTGGCAGGAGCTTAGTGGCTTCCCCCCATGGCTGCACTTCCCTGCCCCCTGCTGTCAGGCTGGGCCCTGTGGAATGACCTTGTGCCGGTTCTGAGCCCAGGCCTTAAGAGGTTTTGTGTCTTTATGTTCACTCTTCTAGAAACTTCTACCCTCCTTGTGCGATGAGGTTCTCGGGAGCTGCTGCCCAGCCTGCGCCCTCAGGCACATGCAGAAGCAGGGCTGGGGGCTGGGGGCTGGGAGCACGTCACAGGTCTATGTGGCTTCATATGCAGTGTTCCTGGCAGTGGTTCACGGCCGTGGAAACTGCTACCTACGGCTGAAAGCCACACCGTGTGGCACCGGCTTGGAAGCAGGAACTGTTACAGAAGGCTGGAATGCCGCCTGCCTGTCGAGAGCTAAGGCCGTGGTCTGCATTATCTCGGGGGTGAGAGGTGGTACCCGGCCTCATGGCCTTGGGTTGGGTGTATCCAGGTAGGACATTGAAGGGCTCTTGCTGCCTGCGTTCATACCAGGAGGGACGCAGGATGAGCTGGCCACGTCCCACACATAACTGAGGGGGCAGAGAGCCTGGGAGCCGTGGGACCTGCTAGGCCGGAAAATAAAGCGACCTCTGACCTCCAGTCTCCCCATCTGATAAGAGGTTCTCACCTAGGGTACAGCCTAGGAGAAGAGTCAAATCAATGTCATGGCCGTTAAGATAGTTTGGGCTGAGGTCAGCAGGCGGCATGGTGGTTAAGGTACTGGACTCCCACATGGCCAATCGCGGTTCAAGTCCTGGACCTGGCAGCTCGATTTCTCACTTTCCCTCCCTCTCTCTCTCTCTGGTGAGCACATATGCCCTGTAGCAAATTTTAAAACCATAATAATGATAAATAAAATGAAATAATTCTTTTAAAAATACCCAGTTTGGGCCACAGGTCAAATTAAAGGCAGAGCTCTCACTGCCCCTGCGGACCTCTGAGGGTGCACTGCAGGTGGCTCCCGGCCAGGTCAGCAGAGCAGCCCCTGTGGTCTCAGCGGCTCCCGGCACCTGTAATTAAGTGTGGAGAGAAGCGTTTCTTGAAGTGGGTTGCGAACATGGCTTTTGGCACACGGAAGCAGACACATAGGACGCCCTCGGTGCCTGAGAGAGCTGTGTTGGCAAAAGCCACTGATCTGGCCTGGGGAGTGCTTAGGACGGAAACACGCCTGGGCACCAGCCTCTGGGCATGGCGCTGGCTGAGAAGGCCTTGGCTGCAGAGAAGGGGGTATTTTCCCTGTCCTCCGAAGTGACCAAGGAGAACGAAGGGCCAGGCAGGATCTTCAGAGAGAAAGGCCATGAGCTTGAGGAGCCAGGCCAGGCTGGGCACCAGCGGCCTAAGGCAGGAGTCCATCTCCAGGGCAGCCGTCCCGGGCGCTTCTCCATGAGGACACGGCTGCAGGGTGCCCACTGCCCCTGCTGGGTAGGCTTGGCGCCCATCCGACTGCTCTGCTCTGTCCACAGCTGCACCGGTGCCTGGGGGACCAGGCGGGCAGGACGGGCAGTTAGCGCGGCTGTGTTCCTGGTCTCTGAGTCAGCAGGAGCCACTCCGGGCCTGATAGGCCCCAGGTTGTTGGAGATCCGGGGGTCCCGGGTAGAAGAGTGTTCTGCGAGTGAGTGTCAGTCCGTTTGCGCTGCCGTAGCAGGACAGCCGAGCCTCGGCCGTGGGTAAAGGGCTTTGTTTCTGCACGGTTCCGGGGGCTGGGACGTCCGAGATCCAGGGCCGGCATCTGGGAAAGGCTTTCTTGCTGCACCCTCACATGGCAGGAGCAGGAGCGAGAAGCCACGGAACAAACCCCTTCCACGGTGGCGTTGGTCCTGGCCTGAGGGCGCAACCCTGTGACCGAGACACCCCCAGAGGCTCTGCCTCTCGACAGCTGCACAGGGGTTACGTGTCCAGCACACGAGTTTGAGAGGAACCCGTTCACATGCAGCAGGGAGGCCTTGAACACGCAGTAGGTGGTGTCCTTGGGCCCAGCTCCTCACCCGCCCCGCATTCGTGTCCTAGCACTACCGTGACAAATGGCCACAAGCTCAAAGGACTCAAAAACGCAGAAACCGACTGTCTCGCAGCTCTGGAGAGCAGCAGCCTGAGCTCGCGCTGTCGGCAGGCCCGCTCCTCCGGGCCAAGGAGACCCTTCCCAGCCTTTCTCCCTGCTTCTGCCAGTCGCCGGCCCCTTTGCCCCACATGCTGCAGGCAGAGCGGCCTGGGAGGCAAAGCACTTCTCAGAGTCCTGGAGGCCAGGAAGTCCGAGGGCCAGGTGCTGGCCAGTCGGTGCCCAGGGAGGGCCCTCTTCCTGCTCGTCGACGGCACCGCCTGCTGCGCCTCACTGGGTCACGGTCAGGGGTGGACTGCCCTTTTCCTTGTAGGGCCACCAATCCTAGTGTTTAGGGCCCACCTTTATGATCCATTCAAGTGTAATTCCCTCCTAAAAATTCTCTGTTCGGGGCTAGCAGGTGGTGTGGTAGTTAAGATGCTAGACTCCCCCATGGCTGGCCGCAGTTCAGGCCCGGACTTGGTGTCTTAAAAATTCCGTCAGTGTGTGTGTGTGTGTTTGTGTGTGTGTGTGCGCGCGCAAAATCCTGGGAGGAGAATGGAGAAGGGATTGTGGTGCGGCCATTCGCTCTGGGGAGTGATTTCAACCCCCTGCACTCCCTACCCTGTCTCTGGTGAGCGCACACCCCCTGTGGCAAAAACTAAATAAATAAAAAAAAAAAAGTTGCATCTTCCCACACAGCCACACTGGGAGGTAAAACCTGAATGTAGGACTTTGGGGTGCCACTCAGCACCCCGCTCTGGCAGTCTGCTTTGGCTCCGGTCTCTGCTGTCATCCCGTGCCCCCCCCCCCCCCGGCATCTGTCTCATCGCCCCTGCTCTCAGAGGCCATCCTAACCCAGTGTGACCTCCTACGATCTAATCATGATTGCAAGGGCCCAACTCCAGATAAGACCCTCGGGAAGGTCCCAAGTGCACCTGCATTTCTGACACTGTTTGATCACGTGCCCATCCCTGTTGTCTTGCGACCTTGAGGTTCCTCTCTGGGATGGAGAGTCCCCTTGCTCCCTCAGGTGGGCTGCTCAGTGCACTTTGCCTAGCCGGAGGGGCAGGGGTGGGTGTGGTGTGCTGTTTGTAGTCCGGGCAGGAACCATGTCATGTCTGCCCCTGTGCTCCCCTCTCTAAAGGTCCCTGAGCTCTGTGTGACCTGGGCCTCTGGGAGCTTTTGCTCTGCTCTCAGGGTGCGGCATGAGCTGACGTGGAGCGAGCTTCCCCAGCTGCTACAGAGCTGCTCTGCAGGCAGGGCTGCCCTGGCTGGCCTGTGAGGCTGCGGGCTCAGGCCACCAGGCGCTAGGGCAGACTGCGTGGTGGTGCTCTTACGGTGACCAGTGAGTGATAGAGGGCCGGGGGCAGAAATCGATGGACAGCCTCTTCTCGGCCTCTGTTCCAGCTGCAGAGCCGGCCCGTGAGCCCAGCATTTCCAGGGGTTCTAGTTCAGCAAGAGAAGCCGGGCGTCTGGGTTTCTAACTGCTGTGCTGGCCAGCCAGACACACCTGTCCAGAGGACCCACCTGTAAGTGGGTCTGCCAGGCCCTGGTCCCCACCGAGCTGTGCTTGTCACAGTGCCAGCCTAGGTTCTAGAAGGAGTCCTCCTGGTGGCACGTAGCCCCTGGCAGGCCAAGGAGCCCTGCCAGGAGCAAGTGCAGGGTTTGTGTCTGTGGTTGGTCCCCACGAGGTGACGGAGAGTGGCCTTCCTGAAGCCTTCCTGCCCCTTGACAGGACGTTGTAAGACCCACTTGCAAGAAGAAGGGCACAGAAGCTCCGTAACAGAAGGTGGGGTTTTCAGGGCTGCAGCAACATGGAAGAAGGAGACCGACAGAGGAGAGGGAGCTCAAACACCACCAAGTTTGCAGTCAGTTTACCGGACTGATGTCTCACTCTCAGTCTGAGTCCAGGTTCATCTTCACTCCCAGACGTCTGGAAGGTGGCATCCCGAATGTTTATGCTTGTTTCTTCTGCCTTTTTGCTAAGCCCTGGTCCCCCCCTCCTTTCCTTCACTTCACACTTGTTTCATTGCACACATATGCTCATCTTTCTATTTACACATATATAGTTTTTATATACGGCTTGCAAAATATGCCAGACAAGAATGAAGCGATCCTGCAAACAGCTGGAAAATTATGCAACCGTGCAGAGACGGCGCACATGTACGTTCTGTGCTGCAAGTTGCGCAACAGACCACGCTTGTTAGTGCGGCTGGCAGGCGTTCAGTCCCCTCCAGGACAGCAGCCTGCTGGTGGGGCGGGCCTGCTGCACACGGCGTTTCCAGGAGCCTCAGCTGTCCAACAAGAGGGAAAGTGAGCCTGGCGATCCAGGAGGCATGGAGGGCTGAGCCTGGGGGCCAGCGCCCAGAGCTAGTAAGGCACAGGTGTGAGGTACGGCCAGGTCGAGGCTCAGGGTCTTGGAAAGCTGAGGGCTGGGGCCTAGGGAGGCCGAGGTCTGCGGAAGTGAGGCAAAGACCTAGCCCCGGCCAGCTCAGGGTCTTGGGACCAGCCAGGGCAAGGTACCAGGCCTAGGGAGACTGGGGCTGGGGGTTCAGTGAAACTGAGACTTAGAGCCCAGCAAGCGGAGGCCCCAGGTCCAGCTTAGGCCCCGTCCACAGAGGCTGAGGCCCAAAGTCCAGCAAAGCCAAGAGCTGGGGTGAAGCTTCAGTGAGGCCATGGTCCCAGGTCCAGCCGGGTTGCGGTCTCAGGCCTGGTGAGGCTGAGCCTGGGACTCCAGGAGGCCCGAAGCTCAGTGAGACCAAGGTCCAGGGCCAGCCTGGGTCAGGACTGGAGCTGGGTCTGGTGGCAGTTTCTGAGAGTGGGGCTGGTCTTTGGGAAGCGCTGTTTCCTCGTGGCCTCGTAGCAGGTGGCAGACTCTTCCTTACACCGGGTGCGCCTCACTCCCTGCCTTTCCGGAGCTCAGGGTCCTCCTCTGGACAGCGCTGGATTGTCCAGGACTGCCAGCCCTGGGTTCCCGGGACTGCCCACTGCCTCTCTTGTCCCCAGAGAATTTGGGAGGACAGGTGCTCTGTCATCAGACCAGGGCTGGGTCACTGCTGCAGCCTGGCAGTGACCTGGCTGGTGCTTGGCCACCACCTCACCTCCCCACGGAGCCGAGCCAGCATGAGACTGACAACACTCCAGGGGGCCCACAGTGGGGGTGGCCAGTGCTAGGTAATGGGTCTTACTGCATTTACTTAAGAGAGCTAAGGATTTTGCTTGACCTCAGGTGTGACAGCGTGGCTGCTAATGCAATTTGCCTGCTCAGAAATGAAAGACTGGGCCAGCCAGTGGCGTGGAGGTTAAGGCACTGGATCTCATATGCCTGACAGCATGGTTCGAGTCCTAGACCCAGTGGCTAGGTGAACACACTGGTTGTGTGTGTGTGTCCAAAATCCAGAGAGGAGGATAGAAAGAAAGGGTTGTGGGATGACTATCTGGTGCTTTCTCGCTTTCTTTGTCTCTGTCTCTGTCTCTGGTGAGTGTACACTCACCTGTAACAAAGTTTAAAAAAAGGAGGGCAATCTTTTGGAAGAACTCCCTGGTGGAAAGTTTGCACGGTGGGAATCTGAGGAGGAGGACCATGAGGAAGGGGCCCTCTGGGGTCTCCTATCCTGAGGCACAGGGTTTGAGGATGTCAGAGCCCCAGGCTCAGCAGTGGTGGGGTGGTTCGAGGACAGAAAGCCACTGGGTATCCCCATTGTCACAGCCACCATGGACAGGGCAGATGAGGACAGAGACCAGAGACAGCTACAGTGTGGCCTGCAGAGCTGCGAAGGAGTCTCGGGTACAGGCGGGAGCCGGGCTGCCCCTGCCACAGCCCCTCAGAGCAGAGGCGGGAAAGCGCCACGGGGGACAGCGGCCGCCTGAAAGTCATTCGATTTCCGCTTTCTCATTTTCAGAAATGCAATTAGGGAGGCAGAGGCCCTGCATGGGCTCGGGAGCGGTGTCTGCATGTCTGGTCCGTGTGTGTCTGCAGGCTGCAGGTCGGCAGCATCTGCATGCCTGTCTGTGCACATGCATCACCACAGGTGTGCATGTGTGTGCACAGGCACGTGCAAATGAACACTGTCGCCTCTGGTGTCCTGGGGACACTGCCTAGTGAGCGCAGGAATTGGCTTCTGCTCTCCTGTTGATACCAGGCTGCTGGCGAGCCCCCAACCTTGAGTGGCCAGCCTCCTGTGGCACTCCTGACCCCACCACCCCGTGCCCACCTCCCCGTCCTCCCTCCCAGCAGCCTGTGCTTCCAGACCCTGTTCGGAGCCCAGGGACCACCCTTCGTCAGGTCCCCGTTTGTGTCTGCAGCCCGTGATGGGTTCTCGCTGGGCCCCTCGGAAAGAAGCAACAGAGGCTGGAACCTCACCCTGTGGAAGGCAGAGAAGTTGGGGGCAGAGGGAGGCCAGGCAGGTGGGGCCAGCAGGCTGTCCTTCACTGTCACAGGCCATGGAGGGGTCACCCAGGGCAGGGACCCAGCTCCCGCTCCCTGTCGAGAAGGCAGAGGGGAGGCTCTGTGAGCAGGGGTTGGAGGCCACGGTGAGGCCCGGGGCGGAGTGGCCAAGGGGGACAGTCAGAGCTCTCAAGTCAGCTCAGGCCTGGCCCCCCTTGCTCCAGCTGCAGCTGCCCCATATGCGTGTGGGAGGCGGGAGGGCTGTGAGTGTGTGTGGGGCGAGGGTGTGTGGGGCGAGGGTGTGTGTGTAAGGAGTGGTGTATGTATGTGGGGATGTGGAATGGGGGTGCATGTTTTCATAAGAAATCTTCTGACTTTTAAAAATCTTTGCAAATAATTTGAGTTAAAAACCGAAACCCTACGGGCCACCAGCTGGCAGCTGGCGCCAGTCCTGATCTGGAGCTCCGCAGCAGCGAGTGGGGGTGGAGGGGACCGATGCCCCCCCCCCATCCACCCACCCAGAGTCCCGGCTCAGGGAGGCTCTGGGTGCTGAGAACGTGTGTGGTGGAGAGTGCTGGGCCCGCCCGCCTGGTCCTGAGCTCAGCTCGTCATGTGTAAGTGGGCACCTGGAGAGGGGAGACGGGCTCCCTGTGTGCTTGGCTAACCTGCCGGGTGGCTCCTGGTCCCACCACCCAGCCACTTGGCCCCCTGCTCTGGAACCTGTGCGGCCCAGCTTGGCCAGTCGCCTTCAGCCTGGGCAGGAGATGGTGAGGGACTGGCCGGCCCGAGATGCCTCTGGGGTCCCGATGGGGTGCCCGTGGGCTGGAACATGGGGATTGGGGATGCCAGATGCTGACTACCGGGTGGGGGGCGGTTCTCCGAAGGGCCATGTCCTGGTGAGGGCGCCCGGTTCCCAGAGCATCCGCGACACACATGTTCCGCCCCACTCCCTGCAGTAAGCCCCTCTCAGAACCAAGTGCAGACTCTAGGCCGAGACCCCATGGCCCTGCTTCTGCCCTTCAACCTCCGCCCCGGCTCCAGCACCCTCTGGCTTCCCTGGAGCAGCCAGGGCTTTTTCCTGCCCAGGGACTCACACGTGCTAGTCTTTCTGCTCACGGGGATCACTGCTTGGGCCATGTAGAATCTCATCGACTTTCAGCCCGAACCTCCCCGCCTCCCTCCCTGACCCTTTCTATTGGGCCATCGGAAAAGTCCCGGCGCGTTTCTGGGCGGTAAACAGACAAACACGCCGTCACTTTTCTGACTACCCAGTGGCAATGTCTTCATTTTCATCCTACATCTGCCTCTGGATTGATCTTGTTTTGCTTTTTCATTCCACAGACATGTACTAAGCACTGACCACGTGCCAGGCTGTTTTGTCAAATCGGCGTATTTACTGCAAACCTTTGGCAAGGTTGTTTGGCCAAAATGAAAGCTGGCATCCCCACTGACACCCTACGGACAACTAGGGTTTGGTTCCAAAGTGAGACGGTGCGACGTGGTCACGGCTGGCGCACATGGATCCATGTCTGGAGCTGTGCTGGTGGGTGCTATGTGCAGGTGTCGGGGACCAGGCCTGGCTGGGTTGTGGAGGTCTGGGGTGCTCCCTCTGCCGTGTTGGTCCTGAATCCCTCATATGCTTGACCCTAACCCCGTAGGTCGGTGGTCCTGCGGTGCCCGCTATGCAGCGAGGACACAAAGGCACAGCGGTGAAGGAGCTTTTCCAAGGTGACAGTTGCTCGGTGTCTCTGAGCTGAGCCGCCGTGGGACTCACTCAGCAGCACGGATGGGGATGGGCAGGGGGCACTCCTGCTGGGGGACCTTCCTTGTCATTCCTAAGGAACATCTGTCCTTCCAGCCAGTGGCCGGGTTGGGCCTGCACACGTGTACCCTGCAGCGAGAATGAACTAAGCTGGACATCTCACTTGGCCCAAGACTGAGAGGGGGTGTGTAAGCGGGCCCTGCAGGGGAGGGCGCGGGTGCACATGTGCCTGCTACTGCGGGACGGCCCGCCTGGCCAGTAGGGGGCACCCAAGTCCAGGGCTCAGTTTCAGATGTTGGGCACCTAGCCGGCCCACTCCTGTGGGTGCTGCCACCGCCGGAGAGAGGCCGGGGTGGGGGACAGGCGGGAAGGGCCAGGCAGGCTGGATTGCCCGTGAGCGGGTGGAAGGGGCTGGTGGCTGCTTGGACATGAGGGTACAGGAGGAAAGAGCCCGAGATGCCGCGAGGTCCCTGCTGGGTGCCCACCTGTGTGGAAGGCGGGGATGCCAGGCGTCCCCCCGGGACAGACGCTGCATGGGGGCAGTTCAGGGTGGGCGAGCTTGTGAGCTCAGAGGTACCCTGATGGAGGCGTCTGGGGCGCTGCTCTGATGGACAGGCGAACGTGGCCGGCCAGCATGTCTAGACGCTGGAGCCATGAGAAGGGTGAGCTTGCCAGGAAGCGGGGGGCTGCCCGAGGAGGGGCCGGAGCCTCCGGCCAGTGATCAGAAAGGCCCCAGCGTAGGGGCTGCACGGCCAGCCAGCCCGGGACCGTCTAGTGCTCACACACGCACCAACCCGGTCTGAGGCGGCACACTGAAGACTCGCCTTTTCTTTTCTCTATCTAACTTTGTTTCGGAGCCATTGGGGACCAGTTCTGAGTGCTCCGATTTAGTGCCCTGGCAATTCTGTGTTCCGTGTCAGTGTTTCTGCAGAGAGGAAGGAGCTGTGTGGAGGCAGCCAGGCTGGGCACGCTCCGCCGACGCGGCCTTGGGCTGCCAAGACGGCTCGGGTACCTCCTGGAGGAGCCCTGGGAGTCCCCACTGGCTGCACTCACGCCCAGAGTTCTCTTTCCTTGGGGGGTTCCTTGGTTTCAGGACCCCATCATGGCACCCCGGCCCGCCCCAAGCAGAAGCTTTGGTCCCTTTAAGGCCCTCAGCGTGATGCTGCGAACAGGTCTGGGTCGGGCTTGGCTGGAGGGAAGGCACTTACCCCAGGGAATAAAGCCCCGGAGGCCAGAGGTCTGGGGTCTAGCCAGGGGCCAGGCTCCACTGGGCTCAGAGCAGGCTTAGCTCTGCTCACGCTGCGGGGAGCTGGGCCTCCACAAGTGGCTGGCGGGATTTACGTGGCCCCCACACGCCACCACCACCGCCACGAAATCACGTGGCCGGAGCCACTTCTTTTCTAGGCAGGAGGAGGCTGGATTGTGGGTTGCTCTCAGCCGGAAATAGAGGCAGACAGGGTACTTGTGGCATGGGGGTTGGCACCCCAATATCTGCCCAGCCTCAGGGGGTTCATCCAGGCTCATCCCAGTCACCGCCTACCCCGTTTTCAGCAGCTTGCTCACGGTGGCTATGGATCCCACTGTGGCTGAGACTCAGCCACCTGGGCGGGTGGAGGTGCCCCGCGTGGCACTGGGGTCAGGGTCGTGCTCTGGCGCCTCCTCAGCCGCCTTCCCGGGCCGCTTCCCGTGGTGTAAGCTGTGGTGTTACTGCAGCTGGGAGCATCTTCAGGGTGCACAGGCCTTTCCCGCACGGGAGGGCGGGGCAATGGCTCCTGACCTGTGAGAGGTCAGGGACAGGTTTGGGCGACCCAGAGGAACTAGACTGGCCTAAGTGGGCCCAAAGTGCCCCTGCCTCCACCCTGATGGCTGCTTTACAGTTGTCTGCTCTCCCTGCTGGCCGGCCACACACACAGGTGGACGTCTCAGGTGGCATCCAGATGCTTCCCTCCCCAGGCCACTGCTCTCAGGTGGGGTCTGACTCCAACCTGTGTCTCCATGCAGAAGTGCCAGCTGAGCCTGGGTCCCCAAACTCCGAACTTCCAGCGCTTCTTTCACTCCAGGAAGAACATATCCACGGCAAGGGGACGCCCTGTGTGGGAGTGGCAATAAAACACTGCTGCCCAAGCTCCCTCCTGGCACAGCTCCTCTCGGGGCGTGTGTGGGGGGTTGCTCAAGAAACAGCGAGAGCCCCCTCCTCCAGTGCTGCCCAGCTGCCACACCGGCTGCAGTCAGCGTCCTGGGGTGTACTGCTTCTGGAGGCCACTCCCGGCCGGTGCTACCAACGCACCTCGTGGTGCCGCCGCACCCGGCGCTGGCAGCGGCGGAGCTGGACAGTGTTGCCATCTTCAGAGGCTGCCTGACAAGGTCCGCCCACCTCCTGCTTGGTCTGCTCTGCACAGGGGCCAGTGGGACCGGGGAGTCCAGGCCCGTCCCCAGGACCCTGGCAGCTTGCCCATCCAGAGGCAGGACAGCGGAGCCTCCCTGTCTTTGTCTGCATGGCCAGTCCTGCCAAGGAAGGCGACCTTGTCAAAGGGGCAGGAGGACTTCCGGGATGAAGGCTCTCAGGCTGGCTCCTGTGTCTAAGGAGGCCTGCGCTGCAGGGGTGTGGCCTGGAAGCCAGAGACAGAGCAGTGCCCCACCCTCCTCCACAGAACAGGGCACCGACCTGGCCCACCAGAGCCGAACAGAGGAAACCATTCTCCTTCCCTCACGTCCCTTCTCCAAGGTATGTGGGTGGTGATTCGTGACACCCAGGATGTCCAGGGAAGACCCCGCCTCTTTCTGCAGCTCACACCCTTGGTTCAGGTCTTTTCTTAGAGATTTTTGGTATAGGGCACATGCACTCACCAGGGAGACAGAAAGCGAGAAATCATCCCCCAAGGAGATGGCCATGCTGCAATCCATTCTCCTCTTGGGATTCTGGGTATGCACACACACGCTCTCAGCATGAGTTTTAAGCCACCAGGTCCGGGACTTGAACCTCTGTTGATTGACTACATGGGAATCTAATGACATAACCGTTATGCCATCTGCTGGTTCCTCCTTGGTTAAGGTTTTAAGGGGGTTGGGTGAACCCTGAGTAGTCTTCATTCCTTCCACAGACACTGGGCTGCTAGACCAGGGTTGCCCCTCCAGTCCCTGCTGGGACCAGGCTGGTAATAACGAGGAGGGACAGGCAGGTATAGGACACTAGGGAGTAGTGGGGACTGGGTCAAGCCAGCCAGATAAAAAGCAGCTACAGGACACACACTAAGCAAGTGCTGGGCCGTGTTGGGCCTGCGGTCCTCAGCTTTTTTGTCTGGGATCTAGAATGAGAACGGACGTGCAGAGGACCCCTAGGCCTGCGTCCTGCATGTGCCCCGGAGGAGACCAGAGGGAACGGCAAGCCTGGGGGCGGGGGAACCGTGGCCCAGATGGGGAAGGGCAGCCCTTTGGACCCGGGAATTTGCCCCACCCAAGCGAGGGAGTGAGGGAGCAAGGGCAGTGGGTCGGGTTGGGACCTGGGCTCTGCCCACAGCACCCTCCCTCCTCACGTACAGGGCTCTGGCTTTTGATGCTATGTGCCTGGGTCAGCCTCGTGAGGTGTCCCCACGGAGGCCAGAGGTCAGGGTGTCAAGGATTGGCAGTCTGGGCTGGTGGGGAGGGTGGGCGACAGGCTCTCTGGGTGGAGCCTCAGAGGCCCAGGGTGGCTTGTTCAGGAGTGCCAGGGAGAAGACTCTTCCCCAGACATGCCCTGAGCAGGTGTCCCGGGGTGCCGGAGTTTAGTTCAGCCTGTCCGGGGTATCACAACAGCGCAGCCGGAGGATGGAGGATTCCAAGGCTCTCCTCTCAGGCTCCCCACTGCCTCGCCTCCTCGGGGAGCGCTCGGGGCGCCAGTCTGTCTTAGCATGTCTCCGACACTTGCTAATCAGCTCTGGCCTCCCTGCTTAGCTGCTTAGCGCAGGTGGTGGGAGCTAGGATTTGATAACATTTTTTCATTTTCATTTTATTTATTTTTGGTGGTTATCTTTGATTTATGGTGAGATGTTGGCTTTTCTCCTTATGGTAGAGAGCTAAAGTATTCTTTAAAAAGGAACTGGGCCTAGAAGGTGGTGTCGTGGTTAGGGTGCTGGATTCCCACAGGGCTGACCGTGGTTTGAGTTCTGGACCTAGCAACTTGTTTTCTCACTTTCCTTCTCTGTCTCTGTCTCTCTGCCTCTTTGGTGAGCACATGTGCCCTGTAGCAAATGTAAAAAAAATTATGAATAAAAATAAATAATTCTTTTTAAAAAGGTTAAGGAGCTTACTAGGTTGGAGATGCTGATGACCATGCACATGGCAGGGAAGTGGGTCAGGCCTAGACATGACCCTTGGAAGAGAGGAGGCAGCTGATTGGGTTTTGTTCCTCCTAGGTTGTAGGACTGCACCCACTGGCCCCAGCCTTCGGGATTCAACCTGCAGCTTCTTATGGGACGTCCTCCTGGACTCCTGGCGATGGGGCTGGCTCTCTTTGGATATCTTGAGATTCCATTTCCAACTCTTTGGAGCCAGCTGGGTCATCAGAGGTCGCAAGAAGTCTGCAGAGAGTGAGGGGCGGGGCCCTGCAGACTGCAGGATGGATGTCCCATTTTATAGCTGCTGGCAGGAGTGTGGGCCCCCGTGTGGCCACACCTTCCAATTTCTCAAGAAAAGTTAGAAATGTTAAATTTTATGTGAAATCTCGCCATCTTTAATGCCGACAAAACATGCTAACAAGCCCAGGGCCGGCCCCAGCCGCAGGCGTGCTCAGTGGCACACGCGTGGAGAAGCTCAGGGGAAGTAGCCGTGGAGCTAGCTGCAGGGCTCACACCTCGCACCCAGGTCCAGACGGAAGCACTGCAGCGGGCGGTGCAGGTCCTGTGTCAGAGGGGCTCTCCTGGCAGGGGTGCCTGACTCATCTCCCGCCAAGGCCGAAGCCCTGCACACACCGGCAGGTGAATCAGGTGAAAGGGACAGGTGTCCACCCCTTGGGAAAGCCAGGCCGAAGCTGGAGCCACGTCGCAGAGGCGTCCCACAGACACCTGCTGGAGGGCAGGTTGGCTCCTAGGCAAGACTTGGGGAGGTTGTGGGGCCAGTGGACACCAGGCCTGCTAGGACAGGGACTCCAGGCAGTGGGAAGAGCAGGACCTTGCTGGACAGTGGGC